ATCAAAAAAATTCGAATTGCATGGAATTGCAAGTGTCTACCCATGAATTAACGATTTGTGACCGCGATCCATCATATAGTCTGTGTTTGCATGTTTCAGGCTCCGTATAAGATTGCATGTTTTATGCGCGTAGGCTCTATATAAAATTGCATGTTTTATGCATGTTGCCATTTAAATGCCGACAACCATAAACATGTTTAAAGACATCATCCCTCAAGCTCTTTTAACCATTGCAATATTTTGCTCATTTGAAAATCCAAATCATAAACACATAATCTCTCTCCTCAATGCTAACACCACCGCCGCCGCCGCCAAAACCACCACCAAAAAAGGGTTCATACAAAAGGAGGTCCTCAGCTCCCCAACCTTCGGATAACTCGTCAGCTCCTCAACCTTCGAATAACTCGTCAGCTCCCCAACCTTCGGATAACTCGTCAGCTCCGCAACCTTCAAATAACTCGTCAGCTTCGCAACCTATAAACGTAAGAAGTCATGAGGGACATCAACTATGGATGGCTCATTAGATACTTGCACGCCAATGGCGCTGCTTTTTTCTTCCTGTTTGTGTACGCGCACCCATCATCAGCAAATTGCCCAATACGCTAATGAACGCGCTGTCAGTAGATTGCCGATGTTAGCAGATATTTTTACCGATAGAATAGAGAATGGAACTCCCATATTGGAACGGAAAAGTCGCAGCATGGTCTCAGAAATTGTGGTTACCTATTATGACCGACTCTGCCACAACCTCCCCACTCCCCCCATACTACAAAACTCATGGTTTTCGTCAAAAAAGCGACCTCCGACGAGCAAAAACTTTCCTAAAATATCCCTGAAATCAAGCAAGGAAGAAGAGTCGCCCGACGAGAACCCCACACAAGGAAAAAAACGCAAGATCAGGACAACAGCAGCACGCAACAAACGACAACACTTGAAAGCCTTCAATCGTACGCTACCAATAAAAGTATATCCAAACCGCCCTCAAAAGCAGCTATTGAAACGGTGGATGGGTATGCCTATAATGCAGTTGTCCGCTGGAGTCTTTTTCCGGGCATTGCTTGATGGAGCCTTGATTCTCTCCGAAGATCATGCAGGAAATAGTAGTAGTAGTAATTAGTCTGCAGGGTTATTTTACTATTACGATGTAATTATTAATATTAATATTAACATTAATAAAGGCTTAATTAAAAGGTAATTCTCGATAAGTCGGCCATTAGAGGTCAAACCCGACTTATCGAGACTGACTGTGTATCTCTTTCGAAACTCTCAATCTTTAATGACAAAGTCCAGCTGGATAAAGTTACGACAAAAACTACAACAAAGCTAACGAAATCCTGAAATATTGTTGACTGAAGCCAGGAAATTGTTGATAGCTTTTGAAAAAGACATGCGGTAATAAAGAATTCGTGAAGGAATTACTGAGTTTTTAGTTCTTTCTGGCTGTAATATCCAACGCACTCCGTTGGTTTATGCTGTGAAAGATAATTATAATAAACAACAAGACAGCTTCTTTACCCACTCTCTAATTGCAATGGAACTAAAAGATAACCACGAGGCACAGTATCATCTGCTTTAATATAGGAGACAAGCCCACCAAGTTCACTTACTGTCTTTTGATATTCATTAAAATGAATTCAATTCACTGCTGTATATACAGTGTGAACGTTAAGTGTTGAGCACAGTCTATTCCAATAAGACATTAAGGCCTATTGTACATGTTCAAACGATTGTGCTGAACACGATCATTTGACTAGTTTGAATAAAAGTTCCTCGCGATAATTAAATTTGGCTTTTTTTAACGTTACAATTTTGTTAATTTTGTTATACCATTCGTCACGGGACGAGTGAATTTCTGATGTTGGGGGCTGATTTGGCGCATTCCCGTGCATGTCCGCCTTTTTTGGCTCCCTACCCTTATAACAACGTAGAACTAATTGTTATCGCGCTTACAAAGAAAAAAAAACCCCATATAATACGATTGGCACATACTAATGCGTTATTCTTTTAGTTTTTGAAATGGAAACACAAACGCTAACACCCAAGTTAACAAACTCGGACCCTTTGGAAGAAGGCGAAATAATAGACGAGATAAACTCAACAACTTATAGTGAAGAAGAGAAACAAAACTTAGAGGCAGTAACCAATGGAGTAGCAGCATTGCCTTACCCGAACCAGCCGTCACCGCAGAGTCAAGATAATGAGGATTCCATCAAGAGCAACGAACATGGCTTAGAAGGTCTAGAAGGCGACTCGAAAGAAGTAAAGAATCGGGAAAGTTCTGGACGGGAACGGAAACATCGGGAAGAACGGCGTCATCGCCACTCTAGCAGGCATTCCCGTAGTCATCGTCGTCACCACGATAACGAGCGTAGCCGACACGGGCATAGACGACACGAATCAGAGCGAAGGAATCACAATAAAGAAGGCGATATGGGTCGGAAGGACGGTTTAGGTAACAATTTGAGCTCGACCGAGCCAATGGTCGTCGATGACGATGAAACTCGTAGCGATATATCCACAAATCGTAATGAACATTCTGATGCCTCTCTCCGTAAACCTAAACGCAGTAGGGCAGAGTTTTCCTCTGACGATGAAAGTCATCACCACTCATCTTCTCGTCATCATTCCTCTTCCCGCCATCGTTCCTCTTCCCGTCATAGCGAACGCCGTCATAGCATAAGCCGACGAAGGAAAGAATATCGCGGTCGATATGATTACGACCGGGAATATCGGTACGCTTATGGTGAACCGACGACCGTTCAAGAGAATAAAGAGATACGAACCGATCGTAACCATGATGAGACGATAGATATTGAACTTGAACCGGAAGTTGATGAAGAGAAGTTAATAGAGGAGAGACGAAGGCGTAGAAACGAAATTATAGAAAAGTATAAAAATAAAGATAATGTTTCTACGGAAACTAGCCTTCAACAAAAGCAGCTCTCAGATTCTATCCCAGGGAATATTGTGGCTAAACAAGCGATATCTGGTAGGACAAGCCTATTGTGGTCCGAACCCTTTACATAACCGATGGCGTTTAACGCCTATATTTGTATATATCTTTGCGTTTATAGAACATCAAGCAACGGAGACGCCGTCTGTGACACCGACGGCTACGTCACCGCCGTCCTTCTCCCTCACAAAAGTCGAAAGCATAGCTGAAGATGAATCCGTCGGCGAAGAAACACATGGTTTTTCCGCTGCAGATTATGATCCTACAAAAGACCGCATAGCCGATGACGAACGACAACTTCACCACAAGTCCGCGAAAGACTTGGAACTATTAAAGGCTAAAGATTTGCAAGAGGCGGTAATTCAACAGGGAGATGATGATTCAGATATGTTTGCAGCTGATTACAAGGAGACATTAACAGAACGTAATGGGAATCAAGAATCTAATACCGAAAAAGTACAAAATGGTGAAGAATTGGACATGTTTGCTGATGAAGACATGTTTGCCCATTCACCAGAGAGCAAGGAAAACAATACCCAACTAACACAGGTCGGTAGTTACAAGTTTGATTTACGATCAATGGACATCCAATAATGTGATAAATTATTAGGCATTCAAGACGGTTCCCGTAGTCGTACACGATAATAATACAGGATTGGTGGATAACTATGACGACGCAGAGGGATATTATCGTAAGTCGGGGGGGGGGGGGGGTTTAGCCTTTTAATACTCTTGATTTCTATGAGGTTTTAGCTCCAAATTTTTCTTATACAGGAGTTCTCCTCGGTGAAATGCTTGATAATCGATATCATGTGCACAGCAACCTTGGAAAGGGTGTCTTTAGTTCTGTTGTGAAAGCTAAGGACACTAAAGAATGTATTGATGTGGCAATAAAAATCATTCGCAATAATGATACTATGTACGTTTCAGTAATCTTAACCTTCGAGAAAACACACCAAACTAAAATATATGAGATATTTTAATAGGTATCGAGCTGGCATGAAGGAATTGAATATACTTAAAAAGCTCATGGCAGCAGATCCTGAGAATAAGAAGCATGTAATACGGCTTTATCGACATTTTGAACATAAGGGACATCTTTGTCTGGTCTTTGAATCTTTAAGGTAGCTTTTGTTATTTAGTACCGAAAGTTTGCTGCGAAAATTTGCTCTTGCTAACATATACTTCCTCTCTAGTATGAACTTAAGAGAAGTATTAAAAAAGTTCGGTAAGGATGTTGGTATCAATATCAAAGCTGTCCGCATCTATGCTCAGCAACTCTTCCTATCATCGTCTCTCTTGAAAAAATGTAATATACTTCATGCTGACATTAAACCCGACAATATATTGGTAAGAGACTCATGATGTCTGATTAATTGTTGATGAGTGTTTCTCACGGCAGACATTGTCCTATAGGTGAGCGAATCCAAGAATATATTGAAGATGTGCGATCTTGGCTCTGCTTCTGATGCATCAGAAAATGATATCACACCATATTTGGTCAGTAGGTTCTATCGAGCACCAGAAATCAGTAAGTATGTGTAACGAACTTGCATTATTTTGACCAACACAATTTTAATCTTGTAAAACCTGTAAGTTCTCGGAATTCCTTATGATTACGCACTCGACATGTGGTCTGTGGGCTGTACTTTATACGAATTATATACGGGCAAAATTTTGTTTCCCGGTAGAAGCAATAACCAAATGCTAAAATTGATGATGGAGTTCAAAGGAAAGTTTTCAAACAAGATGCTTCGCAAAGGCCTATTTGTTGATCAACACTTTGATCAAGATTTGAACTTCCTGTGCTATGAGACTGATCGGATAAGTAACAAAGTAAGAAATATAATGTATTATTAGTGAGTGCTGGTTTGTGTGCGTTATTGACATTCTTTCCATCTTATGATAGGAAGTTGTAAAAGTCATGATGATAACGAAACCTGTTCGTGACTTGAAAACGCGGCTTTTATCTCGGACTTCTCATATGACTGATGAAGAAATTCGCCTTCTTACAGCGTTTGTCGATTTACTGGATAAGTGTTTAAATTTAAATCCAGAGAAGCGATTAACGGTGCGAGAAGCGCTGATGCATCCTTTTGTTACTGGCAAAGTTTAAACGTGGAACCCCTAAACTGAACAATCTTGAATCTTGACACAGAACTATTCAATCACTCATTGAAAAGGGGGATTTATCCAATATTATTATTATATGCTATCGTTTTTAATACTGTCCCACTCTAGGGTGCCAATTTGGTTTGTAATATACTAGTAGACTCTTCTTCCCAAACCTGTTTTATTACCGAGCAAGCATTCATGTAGTGCAATACATAAAAATTTCTGACATATAGACAACGACGGTCATTGAAGGCATTCTTGGAAGGTCTTTGCAAACTGTTTTGAGCAGCCAACTCCGCGTACCAAGATGAAGAAATAGAAATGCATGGCAATAAGAAAAGGGCGAAGCTTGTATAGTTAAGATATAGTTGCTGCGTTTCTTGCTAGCACACCTTTAATGTTTGACTGAATGAATTATTCTTTGGACCGTTGGTGACTTAGAGATCGGCTACGCTCACACCATTCACGACCATGTTTGTCGAGAGTTAGTCACGCTTCTGCTAAATAGCGGCCCATGGCGGCGTCTGTCGAGGACTTAAATGCTCTACAAAGCTGTATTATAGACCAACGACATCTATTTCTTCGTAGTACTTTTTTGGGGCTGAAATCTGGTATTGTCAAATGATTTGCGCCAGCATTGATGCACGCTGAATGAGTATGTTTATTTAACGCTCGATTCGCAGAAATTAGTGGCCATTGTTTTGTTAAGTACACCCATGCCAAAAGTATAAATACGATACGAGATTTTACTAGTAAAATATATGAAAAATCCCAATAAAATTTACACCATTTTAAAGCTCAATGATTGTAGTTTTAATTGAGAGATATCAGCAATTTTAAGGTATTACTGTTGCGGTGTGAGGAGGAGATGAAAGCTTCACTCGCTTAATTATCGACGTAAATCGAAACTCTGTCCTGAGGGAAGTCTAGAAGATTGTAACGCCGAAGTGTACTAGCTGAAACGCCTAAAAGTTTAGATGCTTTGGAAGCAGAAAGCAACACAATTTTTAACTAATATCTGTGTTATAATATATAAACACATAAGCGCAAAGCACACAATTTACAAGCACTTTATACACTTTATAACTAAGCAATGAGGCTATGAATACCTAATAAACGTGTCTTTGAACCAGGGAAAGACGTGTCAAGACGTGTCAGGTGTCTTATTATTATGAGAAAAAGATATTCAATAGCCAACTATATTCATATACGACAATCGTTAGGATTTTAAAATTGCTGGTATTTTTTCTCAATTAAAACTACAATCATTTAGCTTTAAGATGATATAAATTTTATTGGTACTTGTTTAAGGAAATTTTCGATTTATATGTTTTACTAATAAATTGTATCGTATTTATACTTTTTGCAAGCGTGTTTGAAGAACGTATTGTCACAAACTTACGTTTTTGATTACTGACACGTCGGAACCTATTATCAAAGCAGTCATTTAGTGGCAGTATTGGCTAGTAATTATTATTATATGGAGTTTGACATAATCATAAACCGTTTAAAAAAATCCTACCCAAACCAAACATAGGATAATGCGAAGAACCAGCACATGTTAAAAGATTGTCCAGTCCTATATCCATCAAAAGCTTGTTATGAAATATTTATATTTAGGTTAAAAGCTGGTAAGCGACAGACTACGAGAATATTTATCAATTTATTGTGGTGGTACCAGACTTTTTTAATGCAAAGGCCTAAACAATGCAAAACTGTTTTACCAACGTCTCATTGCTCTCATAACAACCAAACTGTACGATGTGTGTTGGAGATTTCAATTTGAAATATACTATTCAAAAATTGCGCCTATTGCGCCTCTAAACTTTCCGAGAGCGAATAGTAATCAACTTTGAGATTTAGCTAGACCCTCTCATCATTGTAAACATTTCAAAGACTTTTGGGTGTGCTGACCTTTAATCAATACGTTCTTGCTGAAGATAAATCGTACCCTAAATTCTCATCCTCCTATTACAGTAGATAGGATACTTATACGAATAATGACCTTTATTGTCCATAAATTAGTACTACTTGCCTTCAATACAGGAGCTTTTCTTAAACATTCAAGCTAAATTAGTTAAATTAATAAAAAATCCCTTAGTATTAGCTATGATGGCCCCCGATCAGCATACATTGCACTTCCCGCAACTTCTACACAAACGATTTTATTGACTATTTCGGAAATAGGTTGCAAACATTATTGATCATGTGTAAAGATTATCGATCTATATTTAACTTGAACACAACACATAGCGATCAAAGATGTCTAGCGAAAACTATGCACAAATCAGAAAAGGTGGCTCTTTGTTGTTGGCATGGAGAATTGAAAACAAACGAGTTCTTATAGTCGGGGGAGGTAACGTTGCTGCAGGACGTATTGTCAAGACTCTCGAGGCTGATGCGAATGTTACAGTAGTCTGTCCAGATGATGGCCTTAACGACGAAGTCAGATATCGCATCAACCAAAACCAAGTTCACAATTGGATAAACAGAAATTTCGAAGAATGTGACCTGGAAAACGTTGATATGGTGCTGACCGCTATCGACGATCATGTGAGGTCGCGAGAGATATATTACATGTGTAAGGCAAGAAAGATACCCGTTAACGTGGCAGACGTACCATCCCTATGTGACTTTTACTTTATGGCAGAACATCGAGACGGTCCATTACAGATTGGTATCTCATCAAATGGACAAGCGCCGAAATTGGCTACCATGATTCGCCAACGTGTAGCGGATGCATTGCCAGAAAATATAGGAATGGCCATATCTAAAGTTGGCAACCTGCGTCAAAAGTTACGAGATATTGACTCGGATTACGAGTCATCAAAGAAAAGAATGGGATGGATGATTCGTGTCTGTAAAGAGTGGTCTCTTAACGAGTTGGCAAACTTGGATGATAAGATGACGGATTTACTGCTATCGTTTTATAGCAAAGATGAAGTTCCCAGTTTTAATTCAATTGTCAAGGTCGCCAGGTCAACAGAAGATGTCAATAAAGACGAAGAGAAACGAGCGAGATCACGCATTATTTTGGTAGGCGCAGGACCTGGAGACCCTTCACTCCTTACTATCAAGGCAATGACATTACTCTCCCAAGCCGATCTTATCTTATCTGATCGCCTGGTTCCCGCGGCCATACTAGAATATGCTAAAGGTGAGGTTCGTTTCGCAAGTGCTAAGTCGGGAAGCGAAAAAACATGCTCGTCAGACGTATCGCAGGATGAACTCCTCAACTGGGCTCTGGAAGCATTGGAAGCAGGCAAATTAGTAGTCAGACTTAAAGTGGGGGATCCGTTTCTATTCGGACGTGGTGGAGAAGAAGTGTTATTCTTCAAGAAGCGTGGATGGGATGTCGAGGTTGTCCCCGGTATAAGCAGTTCACTATCAGCCCCATTGGCCGCTCACATACCAGTGACTCACCGAGGGATATCGGATCAGGTTCTGATTACGACCGGACAGGGCACAAAAGGAAGGATGCCGGAAATTCCAGAGTATAATCCTATGCGTACAACAGTTGTTCTGATGGCAGTTGGGAAGGCAAAGAATTTAAGTGAGCTATTGTTGGATAGAGCTTATCCAAGTGATCTACCAGCAATGTTTGTGGAGAATGGACATCGTCCGAACGAGAAAATTGTACGTGCAACAGTTGGGGACTTGGGTGAGATAGTTGAACGTGAAAACGTTGTCTCGCCGGCCACACTAGTCATTGGCAGAGCAGTAGACGCTTTGTTGATTGACGAGGAACAACAAGGATAATTGTGACTTGTTTACTATCGTCAGTGTGACTTTTATAGATCGTTTGGTGGGCTTCAATTATACCTTCCATCATTGGGGTCCTTGATTGTCTAAATCATTCTCTAGTCGTTTTATTTTTATGGTTTCCAGAACGAAATTATGCCATCATCAGCATAAGATGCAAGAATATTACTGAATGGATGATGTGCCAACCCAATAATTTCTGCTTCGCTTAGCTAAACGCCAGTACTAGTGAGTGTCAGATTTATGTAGAAGTCGGAAAATTCTTCATGACATAGACTTACCTTTAATGTTGTAGCCATCTTTCCAGTCTGAACATTGATGCAGCATAAATTAGAATCTTCAGTAACACAATAAATGAAGTCACCCTGTGGAGATACAGTACAAGTGACAAAGTCGACGCTAGGCTTTTTGTCTGATGTAAACGTTTTAATGATCTATAATAGACGTTGTTAAATACTATAGATACTGACTTTTATGTGAACTAGATACAATAACTATAAATAGTCCTACCTGTCCTCTGACAGTCATAAGGTACAACGTAGGACTTTTACTACACACGATGACTTGATCCATGTTCTTAGGCATTTGAATGACACAGTTGATTGTACTACCACCAGATATTGTTGCCGATGCCTGCCCAACCTGTGGACATATTGTGTGGAGACATTCTGTGGACTTTGCATCCCATATCTGCAAACACTCCAAGTGTTAGAAATCAGACAAGTTCATATCCGTTTTTGTAGAATATTAATGACCTACCTTTACAGTGCCATCACTGCTTGCGCTGATAACTCGGGACATATCATAAGAGAAAATAGCATCGTTAACAAACGACGAATGTCCGCGAAATTCTTTGAGCGTTTTACCTGATTTCAAACCGTGTATCCTGATAAAATAAATTTTAAACAATGTGTTCACGAGGATAGATATTGCCCTTCCTATGACTATATGTTGACTCACCTTACAGTGTGATCGAAGCTGGAGCTCAACACTTGACTGCCATCACGATTGAAACACACTGTCGTAACGCCTTGACTGTGAGCAGGAGAAAAGCGGCGAGTGCATTGACCCGTTGCTATCTTCCAGACCTTGATAATGTCATTTAATACTAAATAATACGCATATCGAAGTCACCGAAGAATCAAATTATATAAATAATTTACTTTAATTGTTCCATCTTGCGCGCCCGTAGCTAACATCTCACTGTCTCGGCTAAAACTTAAGCACAGAACAGGATGT